AGCCCAGTTCTCATTTACACTGCACAAGTTTGGCAGATTAAAAGGGCCTTAAGTGAGTGCAAATATGATTTATGTGGTGTCAAGGAGCCAATCTCTCTCTATATTTGGGTTGAATTAATGTTATAAAACCCTGAGTGGAGAAAAAGGATGTAGACCTTGAAGTGAAGGAGAGTAGACTAGGGAGCAATGAAGAACAACACTACAGCGGCAACCAGGATCCCTCAGCAACAGCTCCCCCACAGCTTCCTCTTCCTCTTCAGACCTCTGCTTTCCTTTTGCCCCACTGTGTTTTTAAATGCTGATACTCTAAAAGCTAACACTTAAGTGAACAATTCACAGCCAGCACTCTGAGCCTGGGTTTAAGGATTACACAAACCGCACTGCAACAAGGTTACCCTGATATGAAAGTACAGAAGATTTTTTTTCTCATGTGTAGTCTCCCTTTCCCACAGCCCAGTCCTAGAGGGCTAAATAGTATTCGTGCTATTTTTAACTAGCTTAATCTCTCTCCTGATGGCCTTATACTCACGGCCGGTTCTAGAGATGGCTGGGCAGAGTGCTTGCCCTACATGCCAACTTCCAGAGAGGACCGTACTTTTCATGGTTTTGGGGTTGTTGTTTTTTTGCTCCCTTCTAATTGGCTGCCCTTTTTTTGCTCTGCTGATTGTCCAGGGTTCATGTTTGGTGTGTTTTTTGCTCAGCTGGTGCAGGGGTGGGAGGTACTGAAAACGTTTTTCACTTGGCTGCCTAGGACCACCTCTATTTATAGAGATACAAATCTTCTTTGGCCCGCAAAGGTCATTAAACCCCAGATTACTCTTCCCCCTGAGTGCACACCACCGGGGCTGTGCTTTAAGCCTTTGATGATTTGGGGCATTGATTTGTTGTTGTTGTTGTTGTTATCTTGTTTAGATTCTAGGAACTGTGAAGTCCTTGTAGCAACCATCTTGTTACCAAGACCATGTCTACAATTACACAAAATGTATGTAACTCTCTAAAAGAGAAAGGTTTAATGGAATGTTGTCTCTGGGCTCTGCTAAGCTCATGAAGTGGTCACTTGATGAGCTAAATTATATTACAGGGAACGGGTTATACACATATTGGCCACCATGGCAATATGTTCCTGTACAGACTATCAGCACTCATGCTGCAAGTTTGCAGAAGAGAATATAGAGAGACGCAGAGAGGTATACCGGTGATACTGACAAAGGTCTCACATTACACATACAATTCTGGAAGGAAGTAACTGTATCATAAAATGTCAGAAACAAACATTAGAACTGAAAAAGACATTAGGCTAGTGAGTCCATCTCTTGGGAATGCAGGACTGTTTCCTACAGTATACTTTCTAATACTTTGTCTAATTTAGTTTTAAATGTCCCATGCGTTGGAGGTTTTCACAATTTTCCTGGGGAGGAACAGAATATCATTTTTTCCTGATATTCAGACTGTTTTTCTTTTCTGAATTTCATCCCATTGTTCTTAATTGTACTCTGTGTATCACCCTCCATAATTCTGTTCTTTCCATGGGTCCTGATCTTGCAAAAAGATCAGGGCTGGTGGGACCCTTACAGTGTCCAGCAGACTTCATTGGACCTCTACAGAGAGAGTTCACCTCAGGCAAGTTCAGAGATTTGGTTTTCACATGCTTCATATATCTGTAGACTCCCAGCACCTCCCCTCCTCATCCATCTGTGAGCCAAAATTAATGAGTGAGATACTCAGCTGGTCTCTCTGCCTAATGACACCAGCTGAATCACTGGCCTATATACATTTCATTTTGTTACTTGTAAATTCATTTCTATAGCCCCCTTGCAATTTTTGGTGCTCTTTTAAAAAAAAAAAAAAAAAAACCACCGGTTTGGCAATAGTTTCTGCTATCATGATGGCCCAAAGTCATTATTATTATTGTTTATGTATATTTACTATAGCACCTAGAAGCCCAAGTCATGGGCCAGGGCCCCATTATGCTAGGTGCTGTACAAACACAGAACAAAAAGATGGTCCCTGCCCCAAAGAGCTTACAGCTGAGGAACTATCATCTCCCTCTTCCCTGATATGATTGCCCCAAATCTCTAGCATATTGTAACTTTTCTGTATCTTAATTCAGTAATTTGCTTTATATTCTATTATTTAGTTGGTAATGATTATATTTTTTTTCCTTTGGGCCCATCTACAGCCTAAATGGTGATCTGTTTAATTTTGATGACAACAATATCTTGCAGAACATTAGGGCCTTTGGGAATTTGTAGGAATTTTTGACTAATTTGTGGAATACATCATACTGAAAGGTTGCATCATCTAGTGATACAAATCACCCGATAACCCAAATAACTCATTGCTAAGGGATGCTGTGAAGGCCAAAACTATAACTGTGTTCAGAAAAGAATTAGGTAAGTTCATGGAGGATAGGTCCATCAATGGCTATTAGCCAAGATGGTCAGGGATGCAACCCCATGCTCTGGGTGCCCCTAGCCCCTGACTGCCAGATGCTGGGACTGGACGATGGGGGATGGATCACTTGATAATTGCCCTGTTCTGTTCATTCCGCTTGAAGTACCTGGCATTGGCCACTGTTGGAAGACAGGAGACTGAGCTAGATGGACCATTCTTATATTCTTATTTTCAAATACTGTACTGAAAAGCCAGTAATACTGATCCACTCAATGAATATCTGAATAGAGAAAACCTCTCTTCCAGGCACCCCTCAGTGTTTTATAAGGAACTCCCTCTACTTCAGATTGACATTTTAAAAATTTCACATAAACACCAGGTTTTAAGCTATCATGCCCACGAAGGCCATATAAGAATCTGGATAGATAGGTTTGATCAGCACAATTTTCAAATGTTGGTACCTCACTATGGTATGCAAATCCCACATTTGGAAGCTCAAATCAGTATTTAGTGCATCAGTGCTCATTTTAAGTGCCCATCTGAACATCCAAATGTTAGATCAGTATATCCTATGACAGTGCTGGTGCATGAAAAATTGGCCTACAGTACATATCTAATGGCAGAAAAGAAATTGACTCCAGAGGTTGATTTTTGCTTAGAAGCATGACTGAGAAGTAGCAAGGGTAATGGGGTAAAAAAGTAACGCCAGCTCGGCCGCTTCTTTAAATTATAACTTGGAGTCTATGAAGAGGCGTATAAAAAAGGAATTTGCCCAGTTACCTCATTATTTGTGATCTTAAATGACTATGTGAAGCTGGCTTCTGACTTGTTTAAATAGAGCGGGTACGTGTATTTATTCGGATACCGCCAGCAGCTTCATATTTCAGATGGGGCTGTTCTGTGCATTTAACGAGATTTCTTGATGAAAACTGTCAAGCTGGCATGACTCCTGGTGAGCACAGAATAGAAGTGGCAGGTCACTCACACTATCTCTAGCTTTCTCACCATCTCTCCTAATTAGTTTCATGCCTCCTGTCACAGATATTGGAACCAAAATGTATCCTGGGCTTGACCTTGATCTACCAACATCCAGATCACAGTTAACTTGCCTGAAGAACTTACACATCCATATTCATTATTCAGAAGCAGAACAAACTTTTATGTTTGCTCCATTTGTTAACACTCTCCTTAGCCAGGCCATATACCCAAAAGACTTACTAATACGTTAATTGCATTTCAGTGACAAAACTGTCTGTCAGCCATGAGAATGCATTATTGATGCAAGAGGATGGGCCATAAATTTTCCACATTAAGCCCACAGATCAGTGTGTTTTACTCTTTATCCACAGTGTTTCCCAATAAATAATATAGATGCACTTAAATTCTGCTTTTTAAAAATTCATAATTGGTTAATATTAAAGCAGCAGACTGCTACTAACACCACTCGCCACATGTATTGATGTGTAGCTTACTTCAGTGTCATCTATAACCTTTGGATGGTGATTGACTTTTATGAGTTTTTTAATCTACCAAGTGCTGCATCTATTGTTTATATTGTGTTACGTTTCACTTTACAATTTTAGCAATCTACGCCATTTAATGCATAGTTCATTTATTATTAATTATTATTATTATTAGACAGAAAAAGGTTCCTGTGGAAATAAAATGGCCATTAAGTTTTAATTAAAATCAATTGATAAGGTCAATGGAAAAAGGCATTCATCAGCTGGAGGTGTACCATGCCTTTGAAACATTAAGAAAAATACTCAAACAGTGGATGAAAGATTAACTTGTTATGAAAACGTTTAATTTTATTAGCTCTACCGCTATGCTCTGGGCTACGATAATAAACAATGTTCTTGATGCTTGCTATTTAAAAAAATCAATGATCAAAACATATGTCTCAATGCAGGGATAATTTAATAACACCTAATTGCAGAATAAGCATATTGTGGCAACTTAAAATGTAGTGTAAACAGCAGCTGCAAGTTAATATTATTTCTAGGTTGGTAATACTATGAAGAGAGGAGAGGAAGAGAGAAGGGTTTTGTTAGAAATCCAAACAGTCAATTAGATTGAAGTCTGGATTTTGGCACTTTTCAAATGAACACTTGTAAACACTGTAATTCCCTGAATTCAAAGTGTACTTAAATGAAAACAAACTTTCAAAAAATGCCCAGTCCATTCCTCACTGCACATAGTATATTCTTCATCATTTTATTCTGAGTTCATAAATATCAACTGTAATTGAAATAGGTGATCATTTTAAAAATCAATATTTTCTAGCAGTTTATGGGCAACATTTTCAAAGTAGGGTCCCTAAAGTTAGACACCTACAGAGTTAGAGTCCTGAACATCTGAAGTTCCCACTGAAATTAATATTTGTGGAAAGCATTAGCCCTTAGTTTACCATGAGAATAACCTGACTGGTAAGAACATAAACACAATTAAAGTCAAACATGTACAATAGATTGCAGTGTAGTAGATTAACTGCTGAAACCTGTCAGATTCAAAGCACAGAAATGAGATCATGTCATACACAGAGTGTAGAAAACTATATATTGAACTTCTTAACCTTGAGAACTGAGCATTCATTCAATTCCTACCTGCAGAGGTTTTCACAATTTCTGAAGTATTTCTGAGTCCCATGAAGTCAAACTGATAGAGTCTCCAAGATTTCTGGTCTGCAGCCTCTACTGAGTTTTTCCTCCATCTGTAAATCATTTCTTCTTTAGGATAGCCATCTGTAAATTTTTAAAAAAGTGTTACCTTTCTTAAAGAGATGTTGGAAAATATATTTATGATTTTTGACAATTTGAGAATGTTAAAATTCTTGGGGGGGGGGGAGGTCTGTTCCAGTTCCTTTATTGATACAATTCAGCAGAGGAGAGTTTTATGGCATAGACAAGAAGAGCCAATAGTCCTGGCAACAATATGCTTATTGAAAAAGATGACTTTATTAATTCATTCACATACCCGGTTATATATTTCTATAGAAATAAAAGTTCAGAGGAAGTTGTTGGGAAAGGACAAATTAGGGCTGGTCAAAAACTTTCTGTTGAAAAATTTTAAATGAAAATTGGGTTTTCTAATAAATATTTTTTGTGGTAAATATCTGCTTTCCTAGATTTTTAAAATTATTTTTAATTGAAAAACACCAAGACTGAAATGTTTTGCCTGAAAATTAAGAAATGGTATTATTTGGCCAAACATTTTTCAGGTTTCAGCAGGTTTCTGGCCAAAAAATGTTTGTGAGTTAAAACAAAAAAGTTGAGATTTTCCACAGAGGAAAAAAAATTGATTAGCTCTAGAACAAACAGATCTTTCAGTGATGCAGATGTTTATACTAAATGAAGCCTGGTCATATATGACATTAGTTTAGTGTGAAAGAGTCTCCATAGTGGTTTAGTTTTACAAATAACCTTTCAGAATGCGAGAAGTTTTTTAAATTAACAGTGTATACCATGATATTTCAAAAATGAATTAAGCACAATGCAACCAAGCAAAGCTTTTGTCAGAGCTTTTTTTCAACCATATTAGTTCTAAAGGCCAGGAAATGCAGTAATGCATCACATGATCCATACAGCTGAAAGGACTTAAGGCTTGGTCTACACTAAACCCCCAAATCGAACTAAGGTACGCAACTTCAGCTACGTGAATAACGTAGCTGAAGTTCGAAGTACCTTAGTTCGAACTTACCTCGGTCCACACGCGGCAGGCAGGCTCCCCCGTCGACTCCGCGGTACTCCTCTCGTCTAGCTGGAGTACTGCAGTCGACGGCGAGCACTTCCTGGTTCGACTTATCGCGTCCAGACAAGACGCGATAAGTCGAACCCAGAACTTCGATTGCCAGCCGCCGAACTACCGGCTGGGTGTAGACATACCCTAAGCCTTCTTTACCACTACAATAATAATTAATAATTATTAAATTCGGCTGCCCAATATTTACATTTCCTTCTTTATTTACAGAATATTTAATTCTATATCTGAATGAGCAAAGACCTTCCAGAAATTCATTCATATAAACCATAACAATAAGAATGTCTAGAAAAGAACAATACGCCTTCACTAGTTAAGTCTATCGGCCTAGGTACACAAAAGGGGTTAGGCACCTAAATTCCTATTTTAGGCATCAAAGTTCCAGTTTTGGGACCACTGCAATGCACAACCCCCAACCCCCCGGACCCTGTAGGAAGCTAAGCTCACTCAGCATCTATGTTCAAATAAAAGAAGTAAAGTAAAACAAAACAGTTTGGAGTGGGAGAGGACTTTCCTCATAACTTTCAGCCCACGGGTTAGAGTGCTCACCTGGGATGTGGGAAGACCCCCAGTTCAAGTCCCACCTCTGCTTGAGGGGAAAGAAGAGATTTGAATTAGGATCTGTCACTTCTCAGGTGAGTGTCCTCACCATAGGGCTCTGAGATATTCTGATGTGGGGTCCTTTGTAATCTCTCCGGTTGAAGTTGTTGCACTCTGGATAACTACTTGAAGCATCATTTGGGCTGGAGAATGAGCGAGTGAGAGAGAGAGCTCAAGCATGAAAATTACTCTATAGGTTGGTAGTTAGGGAACCCACCTGGAATTTGGGAGACCCAGGATCCAGTCCACCTGCTCCAGTTGCTCTTTCATTATTTATCCAGAGTGCAACAGCTTCAACAGGAGAGACTGAAGGAGCCCTCATATCAGAATACCCCCAAAGCCCAGTGGTTAGGACACTTACCTGAGCGGTGGCAGAGTCAAGTTCAAATCCTTTCTCCCCTTCAGGTGGAGGGGGGAGTTGAATTGGAAGTCCCCCATATCCCAGGTGAGTATTCTAATCTTTGAGCTAAAACTCTGAGGGAGGTTGTCGTCTTCCTCTTGACTTCCTGATAAAACATCATAGGCACTTAACCAAGAGAGGGTTAAGCACACACCCCTCTGGTCGGTTGGCATCTCCCATTGGCTAGCTTAGCAGCTGCCTGCCTAGCATACTGGTTTTTGTGAATCGCAGTCTAAGGTGCCTATCTCTCCCCATTCATTGTATGGGAGCCTAGGCGCCTAACCCGGGCTTTGTGGATCCCAGTGATTTTCTAGTGTTTAACTCCTATCCTGATTATCACAATGGTCTGTTCTGGCCTTGAAATCTATGTATATCGTGCTTTCTAATATATATCCTAATAAACCGTTAGTCACTCCAGTATATCGTGCTTTCTAATATATATCCTAATAAACCGTTAGTCATCTGGTAATTATTAAAGTAGATGTACATCAAAAGATAAACTTGTACAATGGGAAAAATGAAAAGTAAATCCCACCTATTTAAATACAATCCACTTGTTTTTTTCAGGTTTCAGAGTAGCAGCCGTGTTATGCATCCGAAGAAGTGGGTTGTAGCCCACGAAAGCTTATGCTCTAATAAATTTGTTAGTCTCTAAGGTGCCACAAGTACTCCTGTTATTTTTGTTTTTTTCAATATATTTTTTCTTTTCTCTGATGAACATTGTTACACCCTGATATATGTGTTGAAAAGAACAAGCTCTCGCATAATCCCTCTCTTGATCTTGCTAAAAGTTTATTCCATTATTATAAAGACTCCCTTATTTATCCTCCATCCCAATACAGCAAAGAAAGATACCCCAAAGTCCTTCACTTCTGATCTTTCCTAAATGACTACAGTAAATCCTCACTTAAAGTCGTCCTGGTTAACGTTGTTTTGTTCTAACGTTGCTGATCAATTAGGGAACATGCTCATTTAAAGTTGTGCAATGCTCCACTCTTACATTGTTTGGCTGCCTGCTTTCTCCACACCTGGCAGCCTCCCTACGCCCTCCCCCCTCCCCACAGTGCCTCCCGCCCGCCGGCAGACCCCATGGATCAGCGCCTTCCCCCTCCCTCCTAAACGCCGCAAGCCAGGTGATTGCCCTGGGCAGGAGGAAGGGGGGAAGAGCGAAGACTCAGCGCGCCTCCCCCCTCCCTCTCCTGCCTCCTGCCAGCGGCAATCAGCTGGCTTGCAGTATTCAGAAGGGAGGGGAGGGAGGGGGGAGGAGTGAGGACGCAGTGTGCAAAGTAAAGAGAGAAGAGGTGGGGGAAGGGGTGGAGTGGATGGGCCGAGGGTTGAGTCCCCTGCCCCTGACAAAATCAGTGCCTATACTTGCAAGAACAGCAAGAGGAGCAGCCAGACAATCCATTCTCTTCCACTCGCTGACTCCACCACCTCAACCAAGCTTCATACTCAGCAGTGATGATTGTAGTATTAAATTGTTTCTTTAAAATTGTTTAAAACTCATACCTGTATTAAATTTCGTGTTTAAAATGTATATAATGCCTTTTGTCTGGCAAAAAAAAAAAAATTCCCTGGAACCTAACCCCTCTCTATTTACATTAATTCTTATGGGGAAATTGGATTCGCTTAACATCGTTTCACTTAAAGTTGCATTTTTCAGGAACATACCTACAACTAGGGTGACCAGACAGCAAATGTGAAAAATTGGGACAAGGGGTGGGGGGTAATAGGAGCCTATATAAGAAAAAGACCCAAAAATCGGGACTGTCCCTATAAAATCAGGAGATCTGGTCACCCTAACTACAACATTAAGTGAGGAGTTATGGTACGTTAATTTAGAATGCAATGTTCCTATATTCTCTATCAATGTTTGCACAACTGAGTTCCCCATTCAATTTTAGCAGAAGAATTCTAATGAAAAGATGATAATTCATACTGCAATGATCTGTGGGGGATTTAGAGGTAATTTGTTGCCAGGCAGATTATGGCATTGGATCCATGCAACATATTTAAGCAGTAGAGATCCTGTGAAGCTTTAAATACCCCCTCCTAATTGACTAAGTGCATGTCTGGAATTTGCTCTGTGTACGCTTCTAATTGAAATGAAGTTGCTCCCGTCTTTACCTTAAATAGCTTCTCAGACTGACATTATTTGGGGTGGGGGGGACTCTTCCTCATGTCCTCACAATTCATAAAGGAAGTATCAAATAGCATCCTAGATACTCTAAGGGCTGATGTGCTCTCTCACTGATTTGGGATGATAGGCTCACTGCTTCACTTGAAAGTAAGAGCAATACCTTACTGAAGTCTGCCACTGCTTCTTGGTCCTGATCTTGCCCTTTAGGAGTGGAGATGTGGGGGAAATGAGATTATCACTCACCCCATCAGAATCCTTGCTACATCCATAGTTCAGCACCAGTTAGCACAAATACTGAGGGCAAAGTGCTACCCCGAAACAAGCTTCACATAAAATACTCAGATTTTGTAATCTGAAAATAGGTCATGTATGATTTCTGAGACGTCTATGGGAGAATTCTTCATTATTCCTTCAGCCACATTCAAAAAATGACTAGTTCAAACATGATTCAGCTCATAGTTATTTGTCAGTGGCCTGAGCAGTCTGTGGTCAGTCAGTAGTTTAAGAGAATCTAGTCCTCCAGTATTTTGTGAATTTCCAGATGCTTTTACTGCAGTGAAAGAATGTCAATCTGAACATAACAAGTCTCAGCGTCAGTCATTGTCCTGGAACCATATGCACCAGAATTCAGTTGACCATAGAATCATAGAATCATAGAATATCAGGGTTGGAAGGGACCTCAGGAGGTCATCTAGTCCAACCCCCTGCTCAAAGCAGGACCAATTCCCAACTAAATCATCCCAGCCAGGGCTTTGTCAAGCCGGGCCTTAAAAACCTCCAAGGATGGAGATTCCACCACCTCCCTAGGTAACGCATTCCAGTGCTTCACCACCCTCCTAGTGAAA